AGTCTTTGTATTCCTTTTTAAAATTGAAACATTAGCCAATATTAACAATTTTTGACATTTTTAGTTTTGACAATATCCATTTTGTCCCGAATGTTTGTTGCAGCATTTTAAGTTTATTCATTTCGCATTATAAATTTCGTAACGTGAGAAATCATTTGTCACATCACTGTCGAACATCTTGATAAGAAATTTATGACAACGGTGAGAGAAAAGAAAGCAACAAAAATAAAAAGTAAAAAAAAAAAAAATAGTAAATACAACAATCTCGAACGAGCAAAGATCGGTTTGTACAAAGAGGGGAATTTAAGGATAAAATTGAGTAATAGAAAAAATTGGTGCCAGAAAAAATACACGAAGAAAGATAAACGAAGTTTATCAAATGGCAAGAATCTTGCGCGCATAGAACGTGTTCATGGTCTCTATTTTGCCATTTCATACAAAATGGCTTTAGAATTAAACTAAAATTAGGTTTTAAGTGAGTGATTCAATTTTAATTGAAAAAAAAAAAAATAAATAAATAGATAAAAATAAAAAAAAAAATTAAAAAAAAAACGTAATCGCTACAAGAAAATCATGATAGATTTAATCGAATTTTAAGGTTAGGGGTAATGATAATTATTGCTAAGATTCGATTGTCGTTCTTGTTGAATTTCATTCCTCTGTCGTAATTATACATTTAAGTAATTTCGTATAAAACATTTGTTATTTTGATGTTAAGTAATATTTATATCATGAATATTTTTTTTTTTTGTTATTGTTATTTTGTTGTTTTAATATTTAAGCACGATTTGTTGACGAATTGAAGGAAATTGTGTACATATACTCGATGACAATTAATTTTAATTTGTTGTACAACATATATTATAAAAAGTGATCGTCATATTCATTTCATTATATGTATAACAATTTCAGAATATTTTTCCAATTCCTTATTAAATTTTAATCATATTCGAAAGATGATTTTACATATCATTTTCCAATATTGTTCAATTTCTCGTAATTTGAATTTCATTTGTTTATCGATGAAGAGATAATAGTTGATTACAATTGCTTAATAATAATCGTTATAAACAGAATGCTTGGTAAGATTATATCGCTAAGAGATATAGACACAGACCACCATTAAAGTTCATGATTCAAAACGATCAGTCTTTCCTTCAATGTATATTCATGAAAGTTAATGGAAACGTATAACGTTCTCGAAACTTGAGAATAGCATTAACACGTGATCAAGAGAATAATATTCACTAATATTTTTTTTATACATAATAAAAATCATGTTATAATTTTTTATTCTATTTTTTTTTTTATCGTTATTTATGATCAATTTCTAAAAAGAAATTGAGCATGAAAAAAACTTCAACAGCAAATGAAAATAAAATACGACAGAGGATCGAATTAGTTTAGTAAAATGAATTAATTTCTTAAATCATCACAAAAGAAAAGGACATTTTTTTTTTTTTTTTTTTTTGTTTAACATGAACGACGATCTTATAGAATATTGTAAATAATTTTTACTGGAAGTCCTTAGATCCGTGTCACCCAGCAGATATACTGTCGTAAAGGGTTCAAAGAAAAAAAAATGCACTATATTTATTGCAAATTCTTATGTTGTTACTTATATGTATATACATATATTTCATATACAGAATATATAGAATATTCTGTATATAAGATATATGTGTGTATTGCTGATAAAAAAATAAATAATAATAATAATACGATAAGACTTATGCTAAAACTATAGATTACATAAATACAAGTCAGAAAGAGTGTTGAGATTGAAGGAAGGAAAATTGTTTTATAAAACGTACCTTTTATTTTATGCCAAGATTAATTTTATATCAACCTTACTTTTTTTTTTTTTGTTTTTTTCTAGCTTGATCTCTCAATTAAACGCTCGTATTTGCACATGTATATACAATGTAATTATAGACATTGGTTTATACCTCATCCTTCAGGTTTTTCTCATTAACTTCGATTGTGTAATTGTAATCGATTGAAAAAAAAAAAAAATTACTAAAATGGAAAAAAAAAAATGATTGTTAGCATGTTATACTTATAATTGTAGATTTAAGGTTAGCTCATCAGGATTATGTAAAAATCTTTTTGGAAAATTCGTCTTTAAAATTGACAGTTAATCTTTGGTGTATTGATGATGTTCAAGAGCATTAATCGATGATCGACAAAAGTTTTTTATTTATCGAACAAAAAAAAAAAGTTTGTTTATATTATTGTATATTTATTTGAATTTCTAGAAACATTTTGGAGCTTTTATTCCTTTCAAATCAAAATTTAATCAATTAACTTCTTCCATCTAAATAACTTTTCTTCCTATTGCACTGCTTCTATAAATTGAAAGAGTATATAATTGAAATTTATATGTCTTAAATAGAATATTTATGGTAATTCAGTTTATAATTTGAAACAATTTTATTTTTATATCATAATTATTTTTGTGAGAAAAATAATAAATAAATAATTTATAATGAATTGATTAATCATTCATTAGAAATTTAATTGTGATAAATCATTCCTTGGAAAATTAATTATTCAATTAATCGATTGATCATTTTCTAGGGAATTAATTCACTAGAGAATCAATGTAGATCAAAAATATGGAACTAAGTTATTTAAGAATCGTACATTTGAAAATATTTAAATAAAAATGATAAAGGAAGAAGAAAAAAAGAAAGAATGGAAGTGAATGCAATAAATTGAAGAAAAGTGTATCATAATCTTAATATTCATATTAATTTAATTATTGATTTTAATTATTGACCAATTATCAAGCGCCATTTCTTAATACATCTCTATGAAAAGAAGAAAAAAAAAAAAAAGAAAGAAAGAAAGAAAGAAATTATGTAAATCGTTTTACACACACAAAATATTCCATAAGTAATAATTAAAATTGGGTAAAAATAAAAAAGAAAAAGCAAAATGAAATAATACTAGTTAGATAAAAGGAACGCATTGAACAAGAATTTTATCTAAATTTTGTAACATCCGAGGAAGAATTGATAAAAAAAAACATGGAAGATTAATGTGTATAACAAAAAAATATCAAATTATTTAAAAAAAAGACATATATGTAATTAGAAGAATGTTGATCGTTTTTATCCCTAGCGACGAGTTAAATATATAATTTTAAAAAAAAAATAGGAAAAAGTTATAAAGTAGATTATGTTTTTAGTGTTGATAGGAAGATTCGCAAGATGGTAGAAGCAATTTAGGAAATGATCGATATACAAGCAATTTGGAGAGAATCGATGGACCATGGTTTTTTTGTTCATCCGAATAATTCATGTATTTTTATTTAAATTTAACTAGAATATTAGCGCACTCGTAGATGATGCAGATTGCGTTTTCTTACAATTTGAGCTACGACAATGATTTTGCATAATAACCTGATAAATCAGAACAAAAAATTGTACTGTCGAAACAAAAAAAAATATCAATCATGTAAATATGATATATATATATATATAGCATAATAATATATTATATGAATATTATATGAAAAAGATAAAGAGATGTATGTCGTGTGTATGTTATATATATATATATGTGTGTATGATAAAAGATATGTACGAATCAATGAGAGAAAAATGGAGAAAGTAAAATGAAAAAAAAAATATAAACATATATATATATATTATATATAATTTACATATTGTAGTTGTAATACATTGCCTAGAAATATACGAGTATTGAAGTGTAAGAAATGATGATATGAGCAATCGTGTGAACGATCTCTAAATCTTGTATGCATAGAAAGATAAAACGTTTGTGAATGCATTAAGTAATGATAATAATAATAATAATAATAATAATAAAAAAAGAACAAAAAAAACTAAGCTGCAAAACAACAATTCGTGTTTTTTTATTTATTATATATTGTTCATATATTAACCTAATATAATTTGCAATGGTATAATACGTAATAAATTTAATATTTTAATATCTTGAGCTTTGAAATTTTTTTTTTTAATTTTTTTACATATTGTATTTTTCTCTTATTCAGACATTATATACTTTTAAATTATTCTACATTAAAATTCTAAATTAATCATATAAATATTGAAAAATAAAAATATTGAAATTATTTTATTTAGAATAAATATATATAAAATTCGAAGCAAGTTTTTTTATATCTATTGGAAACAAAATAAATATGAAATATCAAAAATGTCAAATAGAAGAAACAAAGTAAAAATAACCTAAAAATTATTTAAAGCAGGAATATCTATTAATATAGATTTCCTTCATTGAGCTATTTCTTAAATTAAAAAAAAAAAAAAAAAAGAATAAAAAAAGAACGAAAGTAGGATTATTTATTTTTTCGCAGATAAACACTACAAATGCAACGAGATAGGGTTAAATTCCTTCCCGTGGCAAGGAAACATGGAAGGAGTCAAAGGGAGAAACGTAACTACGCGTGTAACTCTTCGACCGGAACTACCATGGGCCATGTGGCGGCATAGACTGCGGTCGTAACCATAAAGCTTGGAAACACAGGCAGCAAATACAAGTTAACCTTCTGCCTCTCCTTGCTCAAGTAACCATTTACTATCAGAGCGGACAGGAATAACACATACGGTTTTACCATTTCTATTTTTTTAATTACATCACATTTAAGATTTCAAAAAAATTTCTTTTTTATTTATTATGATTATAGCACAAAATTATAAAATAATTGCATTTATTCAAATTTAAAAAATATTATAATATTTGAAAACTATTTTGTTATTTTTTTTAACGTTTTATTATATTATATATATTAATTATTATATTTGAGATTTTAAAAAAAATTTTTCAAACGAATTTCTTATTTCTAATAATATTCTATATCAAATATCAATCATCGAAGATAAAATATTTTTTTTGATACTATAGTTGTAAGATACCATAGTTTCAAAAGTTGACTATTTGCTAAAAATCAACTAATAAAAAAGAATAAAATAAAAACAAAAATATTAATAAAAAGAAAAACACCTTAATCATACTGCAATTATAATACAAATAAATACAAGTCCTTTATTCCTTAATATGGTCTTAATTACACTATATCATTAGCTATTAATCATTCAGAACATCAAACCAGTCTTAAAAGCGTGGATCGTTAAAATTTTGTCTAGGTTTATCAACAATGTTGTGCAACTGACGTCCAAGTCTCGGAGATGGTGTCCAGGGTACTCGACGTCCTAGACGTGGTGCAAACAAAGGTAGAAATATCTGTTCCTCTGTGTACAATTCTTCTTGATCCTTTGGAAATCCATATGAAAAATATTCCTCACCCGATTCTCTTCCCAAACGAGGTGTGAATTGTGTTATCTGTCGTTTCTCCGTTTCTGAAAAGAAATTTTATTCGATTATTAATATTATAAAAGAAACATGCCACTTTTTCCCTTCTCTTTTAGAAAAAATGATCATCATCAAAATGAACGCAAACTGAATAATGGAGACATATTCATAAAACAATAACAAAGATATATATATTTTGAGTATACCTGGAATTGTGACAATGGCCCAATGTGGTTCCTCAAGTGCATTGGCGAGCGCCTCAATATCAGAATTAATCTCTGGTTTTCGATCCGCTCTACGTCTTCGTCCAAGTCGGGGACCAAACCACATACCACTAGTGATATCTTGCGAAGTACGTTTGATACATTTGCCGTCGGTGCACGAACCAAACTCGTTACTTGGTACTCTGTCATTATTCGAACTACTTGATGATTCTCTGCCATCTGTTTGTAAAAAATATATTTTATTTATATTACATCTATAGAAAGATTAGAAAAAGAAGTTAGTTTATATTGCTATGTTGCAAAGTTCATTTGTTGTATTTAAAATGCTACTAAAAAAATTAAACAGTTTAATGAATAAGATTACGATTCGTCAATTGCAATTCAGAGGAGGAACATTTAAATGCTAATTAAATTCGATACGTTTGACATAAATCTTTATCTATATTCTTTTTATAATATTCTATTTCTGCATAAGAAAAAATTTTATTATTATAATTGAATAATGAATATCGATCTGTTTGCAAAATTTTTCTAGAAATAATTTTTAATTTTTTAAATAGAATTTTAATAAATAATAGAATTTTGTGTATGAAATAGCAGTAAATATCATTATCATGTACAATTGTATTCATTTTAACACACATTTTTGAAATATATTAGCATTGAATTAAAGAGAGAAAAAAAAAAAAAGAAAATAATCGAAAAACATTACCAATATAAAAAAAATTGACATACAAACGATAAAACTATTCCATTCTTCTCGCACTATTTGAAAAAAAAAAAAGCAAGTTCACTGCTATTGCGTAATGTAACGCGAACATTTTACATATTACTATTTATAAAGGCGAAAAAAATTTGCTCATTTCCCATTTCTTTCTCGTATGATGCGATTAATTTTCTATTATATTCACAATTCACTATCAGTAGGACATACCGTATTCCCCAGAAGCATATGATAGCAAGTAGACCACGCACACCAGTACGCAGACAAAAATGGTCGTAAGACGATTGAAAGACGAAAATGCGGCGAAACCGATCATCGCTTCGTTCGAGTACACGTTATCACGGGAAGTTGTCGGCGAATGATGTTGATACGTTCTCAGCTCTTGGTTTTATAGGGATGCAAGCTACCCCTACGTGTTCTTTTCTTTTCCTTTTTCATCCCCATTGTCTCTCCCTGGACTAAACTGTTATTTTTCTTCCCGTTGCCCCGACAATGCCGATTTCATTTGAAACGAATCCGTATCCTACTAAGAAAACATCTAGCCCCAAAGGGGGCCAATCTTGACGGCCCACGAAGCGATTTGTCTCAATTTCAATCGAGATCCACGCTCTTCCATACGTAATGAGAATCCTGGTTGCGTCTTGGGAGAAAATCTTACAACTACTACCATATCTCTTTCACTTTCTTCCTTCATTGTTGTCCCTTCTTTTCCTCTTTCGATTCTTCGACGTCACCGCAAACCGGAAACGTTCGTACGAAGAGATTTATTGATTCCAACGGGATTTGTGAGAGTTTCACAACTCAATTTCTTTGCTGTGCGTTCACTATTTTGCTTTTGTTTTTCCTTCTTTTTCTTTCTTTTTTTTTTTATCCTACAATACAGGGAAAATACCAGTTTTAATTGATATATCGGCGGTGGAAGTAAGAAAGAAACATTTTACGAAATGGAAAATACATATTCAAGTTTTTAACTGATTAAGTAAAAAAGTAATTAATATTTTTCATTTTTAATTTATTATTCTAATAAATATTATGCTTGTAATAATAATATAAGCTTAATAAATATAAATTTTTATAAAGCTACATAATAATAAGAATGAGAATTTTAAATTGAAAATAGATTTTAAAGAAGTTACTCAAATAGAAATACATTCTTATCCATACCATTCAAATGATAATTCAGATTAATATTAATTAATAATTTATAAAATGTAATAAATTCAATTGTGCAAATGATATTTGAACATTCGACCAACATCGAATTTCATCGAATGATGTTTAAAAGCATTGTCTAATAGAGTCAATTCCTAATTTCACAGAGTTTAAACAAAGATGAATACACATTAAATGACTGGCAAAGTCCATCGATGTCCATCGAAAACAATAAAAAAGAGGAAGAAGGAAGACAAAGTGTCGTCGACAAATAGGGAAATGTCAGGAAAGCCTCCTGGCGTCTTCTTTTGTAACGAATCGATGCTGGCGCCCAAGGCGATTAGGCGAACAATCTGTTCTCAATTAAACCTGTCAATTAACCAATTCAATTTCGGGATGAACGAGACCATGAAGCAGAAAAGAAGGTCAACTAGTGCTTGTATAAAAGCTCGACTGTGACTGCCTATCAACACATTTATCGGTCGATCGTCTCGGAGAACACGTGTGATTCGATCTACAATAAAAGTGTAGTTTATGAATGAGAATAGAAAATTAGTTTTTATATAAATATTTTGATTAAGATTGGGAATTTTTATTATAGTGTATACATGTTAATTTATTAGTATTTCAATAATTTATATTTTAGCATTTAATATAATGATAAAAATATATTCGATATTTTAATAACGTTTTGATATTTCGTTTTTATAGTAGCATGATCACGATAAGCATTCTCGTTGAATATTTGCAAGATACTAAATCTGAACACTCGGACAGAAGATATAATCCATCTTAGAGGAGAACAGTATTGTTTACGTATAACGCACACTAGTTTCGAAGAGTAAACAATTCGAAACAAGATTTGTAGTGAGCACTCGTATCTCATTTCCTTCACCTTTACCATATCTTGATACTTAATGTCTCTTTGATAAATTCCAAAATACCTAATAAATTTATTAACAATTCAAATTCCGATTTCATTTTCAATCATTTTTTATTTCGTCGATATCAAAGTTATAATAGATATTTCGAAAGAGATATGCGAAATATCATAACCTCTAAAAATTCAAATTTTTAATTTTAATTTTATTATTTGAGATATAAGAAAAAGAGATATTTGAAAAAAAATTAATTCATTAAACATTCTCATATGTATATCGTATTTCTGAACGTCAAGTTTGCTCTCATTTTCTTATTTGATAATAAAGAAGAGTATCGCTCGACAGAAGCAATTAGATGGAGAGAGTTGTGCGACACATGCTAAGGGCAATTTTTCACAAGCAACGTAAGTGGCCAACCATACTTGGACATTCTCGCGGTTACATGGACTTTCGATACTTGTCAAAGCAAACAAACGTTCTCTTCATACTTTTTTCCTCGGTCTCGCATACACATTTGGTACGCGTATCGCATTTACGTACATATATACTTGTACAAACATGTATACATACATGATTGTTTCTTTGTGATAGTGTTCGAAAATATTCCCACGTAAGAAAGATTTTTTTTTTCTTTTTAGTTATTTTTGTTTCATATTCATTGTATAAGATTATAGGAAGAGAAATAAATGAGAAAGAATATCTGATCGTAATTGGGAGGTTAGATTTTCTGTCTAATTATATTTTATTGTCCTAGTGTATAGATAAAATCTTTGTGGGAGATCTAGTGTGAGCGTCTGGCACAAATTGATGAAATAATATGAAATTTAATATCGAGATTTTGTCCCCTACTATTCGAAATTAAATGCATTGAGTGTGCAATATATCAATTGTTATCCGATAGAACCGATAGTTTTCAAAGAATAATAAAATGATTAATTTCGATCTCTTTTTACATTTCTTATTGAAACATAAACTAGAGATATTTTTCTTCAATTTCTTCTCTATTTTTATGTATTTTCATCTTATTTATTTACTATTTCATGTATCAAACAAAAAGAAATATAATGTTTATACTCATTTATTTACATGTATACAAGGTACCTTTCGTACATAATTCCAGTGGTAAAGCAAGATCTTCATGGTAACGTTTTGACAAGAAAGCAACGATCTCTTTACCGCTACCGAGAATAACCGAGTTCCTTAGGTACATACTGCGAAGTGTTTATATCGTCGATTCGAGCTGCGGAGGTGTTCTGTACTTCGTCAACCGAAGAGTTTACAAAGCGGTACCGACTCACCTTCTTGTTTTTAACACCTAGTAGCATAGCACGTGCCTCTTCTACTTTTTTTAAGTTTTATTTTATCATCTAAAAAAATGTGTAATCTCAGAATTATATAATTTTATGTTTTTCTGTCAAATCAAATAAAGTATTCTTTTAACTTCCATTTAGAATAATTAATATGACAATTATTTTTGATTTGTAGCCTCTCATCAATACGTGATGGGATCTAATTATGCGCATGTAGATAAATAAAATGATAATCTATATTATTATAATCCTATCAATATTATCATATGCATATAGATTGGGTTACTCGTCCATTATAAGATATGATATTTATATATTTATACTTGACATTTATACCTAAATATCCTTTTTTTTTTGTTGAGTCTGAAATAAAATTTGTAAATAGAGTATAGCAAGTATTTACCAATTCTATATTTTCATTCAAATATCAACAATTTTTTTATTTCTCGACAATATTGCTTCCTCTATAATAAGAAATGACAACATATAATTTATTATATACAAGATCGACAATGTCATCGTTATAGAGTTATCATGTCGCCTAAACATCGAATCGTTGTTGGATAAAAATGCTTTTGAAAAATATTACAAATATTTAGTTTCCATTAGTCATCACACAACTGTTCGTTTATTTCATATCCAGCATAATGATTACAAACGAAATAATGAAACTGAATAAATACATATTATCAAGTATAATTAAAGCTTGTTCGTTCATGATGTCTTAATGAAAATGAATACACGATATATCTCATCATATATATAGAAACATCATATATATATATATATAATAATTATGAAAAGTAACAACCAAGTAGTGGTACAATTAAATTGAAAAAAATCCAAAACTTACTATTACTATCAAAATAATGCTTTTTCACATCGTACCTAAGGAAAACATTTTTTGACAAGTTAAAAATTTCGATGAGGTAAAAATTTATTTCAATGATTTTTAACAGTTTATTGAAAGAAATAGAAAATAATTTAATTGTCGTGTATTCTATTTATTACTAGTGACTTTTTATATATCGCTAATATAAGTGGTTTATACAAAAGTTTACAAGCATCTTAAACCGATCATTTTGCTTAGATGTAAAGAGTACAATATATTTAGACATAATACAACTTTCAACTGAGCGTATATTACATTTTACTACATTTTTCACCGATTTATTAATAAAATTCTTGATATAATCTTCATTAATCTTATTTTGCTACAAAATAATGTCATTAATTAAATTGAGTCTTCTTCTTTTTTTTTTTTAAATCTTTCATGATGAAGTTCACAATTGATTTGAAAATTGAATTAATAATGAATTATATTATAAAATTGAAAATAAATTATATGAATTGTATAAATTTATAATAATAAAAGTAATAAAATTTTTCAAAAAATAAAGAAGGAACTATCAAATGTGTAATCAAATGTGAGGAATAAGATGTGGACAAATAATAAAGGGCCAATGTAAATTATTATGAAATAAGAAATCAGATACTTCTATTTACACGCATAATCTATACTCACAGACGCGTATTTACAAACGATCGCTTGTATTTTACAACAGACTTATCGACGTTTTCTTGTTTAAACAAAAACAATGATCTACTACTTTTGATTGTGACTTAAAAGATTCTACTCAATTTATAACGAATTTATAATCATTTAATGTAATATAAATTAAAGATTTTCAAATAAAATTTAAAAAAGAAGGAAAAAACGAATGTAAAGACATAAAAAATTTATCTTTTTTACTCTTTCATACTTGTGTCAAAAATATTTGAATTAACATATAATATCAAATTATTTTATTAACCCTGAAATACAATAGTATAAATCTGAATATCTTGGTAATTATTTATCATGGAAAAAATAAAGATTATTCGATAATAAATCTGAATTTATTAAAATTAATTTTTATATTGATAAAATTTTTTTTTTGATCACTTAAATTCTATTTTTATTTATTTTCACAGTAAGAATATTTATTATAAGAATTCCCGAATATAATGTTATTAGGATTATATACTTAAATGTAGTATTACAGGGTTAACATTCTATTTGTTTCAATTTTTGCACTAATTAATTTTTAACTAATTTTATAGTTATATAAATAAATTAATTATAGCTTATTATATAATATTTCGTTGATTGAAAAATGAAATATCTAGAGAAATGGCTAGGAAAAGTCAAGAATAATTGAAAATTGTTCTGAAATTTCCTGGCTCGCTACCAACTTTGATCTAACCTTACATTTGATTCGTTTCTTGATAATCACGGTAGAACAGAAGCCACTGCGTCAAAAATAGATAGAGATCAGTAATTTTATTGCATCTGGTTCGTAGGCGATTCCTGCTTCAATTCGAGGGCCCACATATGCTGCGGCCAACCAGTTCGTCCTTTACTTTTCGACGATTCCTCGGTTCCTACACCTGTCTGATGTAAATACGATTCATTCTGCAATGAAAAATTTCGAGATTTAATTAAAAAAAAAAATAAAATTTAATATATACAAAACGTTTTATTAAATAATCCTTTATATTTCATTTTATTTATTTATTTACAAATTCTGAGAATGAACGTAGCAGTCGATGTTATATTCATAAAATAAAAAGAAAAAATACAAATAATTTATATTTATAATCGCATTTTAATATTCTATTAATTTCTTTTTATTTTATAATTATAATTTTTATGATTAAGTTTAATTAATTATTTATTTATATGCATTAATATTTTATACAATTGTACGTATGAATTTCATGATTCAATTTTCATTTGTTACGTTTATTAGAAAAATTGTAGAAATGAACGACTTAATAAGATGTCAATGACCTTTCAAGATAAAGAAATTCTTCTTGGGTGGCGGGAAATCATAGAAAGCATGGAAAACCACAAAACCACTAGGGTGGTCCAAAATTGAAATTACAGGAACAATGAAATCATCCAAATTATAACAGTCGAAAATTTGAGGTTCATCGATGGAATGAATAAATTGTTAAAATTGAGATTTAATATTTCCAGTATATTTTATTTTTCTGACATCATCAATTTTTTTTTAATCGATTATCAATATTATCAATATTATCAAAAAAATGTTCAAAGATAATTTTTATATTATTAAATTTATTTTAATATTGAAAAATTTTTTAAAATAAACGAAAAATATGATTTACATCTTTTTTTTCTTTCCCAATTTTATTTTTGGTAATAATTAATATTTTTTTTGGAATAAGACTATTAAATCTCGTATAATTTTAAAAATTTATTAATATTATGACAGATATTTCAATTACACTCGTCGCATGAGAATTAATGTCTCATCATGTGTCGATAAACTTACTCTGTCACAACACGGAAGACAAATAGGTTATATGATTAATCAAGAACACTCGTTCCGACGGCACGTGAACACGATGAGATTTTTCTTCTTCGTCTCTTTTTCTTCTAAGACCTACGGGATACGATGACCAGTTCTCAACATTGAGTTCTTAAGCGTCGACGAACAAGACCCAATTAAAGAGGACAGTGTTTATTTAAAGGCAATGCGTATGAAAGTGTTCCGGAAGATTCAAAGAAAAGTAAACAAAAGAGAGCACAAATTCGTTAGTGAAGTGCACTCTAGTGATTTTCGTTGTGATAGCATGTATGTAGATGTGCTATAATATTGTGTTTTTTAAAGTTTTTTTTTTACAGAGATTATAAATATAATTGTCTTACTAATTATTAGATTTTTCAAAGAAATTGAAAAATTTCAATGACATAGTTATTATTGTTTGAAATATATATATATATATATATAAAGTATATAAAGTAAGTACCATAGTATATATATAGTACTAAATATTATATAAATATAAAGTATAATACTTCATGATAAAAAATTTTGTTAAAAATTTAAAATCTGGATAATTAGCAATATAATTTTATTACGTGGATAATATACAATTTCGAAACCTGTTTCAACTTGTCTCGACTTGTCTCGACCTGTCTCGATCTGTCTATCCATGTCTTCATTATCATGCAATTTGATATATTCTTATATACGATAATATTTGTATTAGGAATTGCTTCATATGTCGGCCATGCAGATTTCATCTTGTCTAATGGAATATTCTTATAAACAGGATGGCGAAATTTATTAGTGTTTCAAGTTTCAATCAGATCGATGATTTAAAGATTCTCGCCTTGTTAATTACAAGGATTACTATAATCTTTCTTATCCTTTTAATAACCAATTAATTATTTAATAATACTTTGGATGTATTATAGAAATGACGACAAAAACAGTCACACGTAAACAGTATATTCGAATTTTTAAAAGAGATTCACGAATGAATTGACAATCGACGCTGTAGCAATAATAAAAGAAAAAAAAGACAGATATAATAAAACTAACCTGATTTGCCTGAACCGTCTTGTTCCTCCTGCCATTGGACAAAATCTCGGCGCGAAAAGTTTGCGGTTCCTCTCCCTCGTCACTCTCCAATACCGCCATCAAGTATCCAATATACGAAGCTGCTAGTCTCAACGTCTTAATTTTCGATAACTTCGTATCTGCCGGTACATTCGGTATACAATCACGAAGGTCGGCAAACGCGTTGTTTATGCTCTGTGTTCGTCTTCTTTCTTTCTTGTTCGCTGTATTTCTTCTTTTAGGCCTGACTACTACGCCACCGTCTCTGACTCCTTGTCTAAGATGTTGCTGAAGCGAGCCATCGATTTGATTCATCGAAGAAACCGTGGAATAATCGCTATCTCTTCTATGATTTTGTTGATGATTATGATGATGATGGTGAAAATGATGATGAGGGACGTCTTGCTGGGGTGGGTAAGTTAGATTGGAATAGTGTTGGTTCATCGAAGTTTGCGGGTATTGTTGTAGAGGGGAGTAACTGGGCTCCTGGACACCAATCTCTTCGATCAAGGGAGGTGTTGAGGCGGTGGGGCTTCCAGCGCCAGAACTACCCCCAGAAATCCCGGAATCCGCGCCCCAGTACGTCGATTGGCTATCCGCATCTGGCATGTTCAACGGACCTGCGACAGAAGAATGGAGAATTGTATAGAATGGCGAATAACATTTTTTTTTCATATTGTTGAATTTTCTCGTCGTTTTCTTTATTTCTTTCTTCTTTTCTAAGAAATAAAAAGAAATCGTTATGCGATATAAACAATATGTCCGATAAATTGGTAACAGAAAAATGAAAAATTTTATCAAATAACATTTTATACACTATTTTATTGGATTGTTAAAATCATTTTGAAAATTAGCTTAACAAAATTACGCGTTGAAAAATATTCTTCTAGGGCAAAATATCTCTCTCAGCTCGATAAAAAAATAAATCTAATTTTTTTATTATAATACAAGTTAGAATATTAATAATATCAATTCATATTTTATTATTAAAAAGAAACTTGAAAACTTCGAATTATACGTGAAAAAAATTAATAAAGAATATTATACGATTAAAATTTATAATATTTAACGTGGAAAAAATTTTTATATATGTATTTTTTTAATATTTCATATTTATAGAATACGGAACTTACCATACGGTAATTGTGTAACATAATTATAGGGTTGATGCCATTGCGGATAATAATCCGGCTGCGCCTCGTAGCTTCCCAACATCATATTAAATTCCTTCTATTTTTCTTTCACTTTTTTTTTCTTGCACCACTGATCAACTGATTCAAATATATCCACAACAAAATTCAATCTTTTTAAAAAGTTTTAATTTCCGTTTAATAACAGATCCTTCTTAGGGCATCACAACAATCTCGTATCGAGAAAAATTGAAGAAAATTTCAATTTAGATCTAACGTAGTTCTAATGTAGCTCGTGACGAAGATCTGTTGGATAAATTATATCCAATTCCAATGGAGGAAAATTTCGATTAATAATAATTTTATTCACAAAATAGACGTACGATGGTATATAATTTCTTCAAATGTCTTCGTTCCTCTCCATCATAGATATATTATAAATTCCAAACTGCGTAATAGATCATGATAATATCTCTGACAATGAACATGGTAACGATGATTGTGAAATTTGATGATTGTGCAAAAATAAGCGTGTAATGATTTCTTTTTCAAATCGTGGCGAAGTAAAAAATATCTTCGATTAATTGTAATTGTCCACAAAATATGTAGCTCCATAAAATAATCGATATTCTAAATATAATGCAATTCATTCACGATGATATTAACAACGATATTGATAGTTTCACCACAATGCGAGCATTCGATTTTCTCACAAATTCCTTCACAAATTCCTTCATCCGAGGAAAGTTTTCTCCAAACCAAAAATTCACATTCAGAAAAACAACTTTAAACATGACTTGGTCTCTTATTACGTTCGCCTACACGGATGGAGTATCGCGAATATAAAAACGAGATGAAGCGAATGTATTTCCGGTTTCATTTCAGCACGAAACACGAGGGTTGGAACGTGCGACTCCCTCGTGATCGATGCGTTTCGAGATGCGGTCCAAATGCCACTGAGAAAAGAAAGCCGATTTCGGAGATCACCTCTAGCGGTTGGGTGATTCTGTTTGGTACTCGAGCACGCCGCTGGTGGGTGTAGACGCAGGCTCCAGGAGAGGAGAACGTTAAAGCTCGCGGAAGCTCGACGAGTGGAATCGAAGGGCGGAGTCCAGGCTGGTCTACGCCCATGCGGCGTACCTCGTTCGATTCAATTAGGAAATTGAACAGGGGAATTGGCCGAAACCGGGGGGGGAATATGATTTAGCTAAGGAATGGAGTGTATCCGCCGTGTATCACGATATGAAATATATATTAGTCACGCGATAGCAAGTTTTTTTTTTTTCCTCTCTTCTCGATTTTCTTTTCTCGTTCCGTTCGACCATCCAGAATCGAGGCAACAGTTTTTTCAGATGACGAATTTTCGTTACAAAGAGTATTTATTATTAATGTGTAAAACCGATCTGTAAAATCCATTTCCAAATATAATACGGCAAGTTCAATAAATTAAAAATAAATTAAAATTAAAAATACACGGAATATAAACAACAAGGCATCGTCGATTTCATTATATACGTGTTTAGAAGTGAATCAATGAAGAATTCGTTCGAACGGATTTTTAATTCAATTTGTTAAAGATCAAGAAAAAAAAAAATGGGCGTCCATTATCCAACTTAGAACATCTTACGAACATATCTTGTATCTATAATTAAACGTCAGAGAAAATTGGGCGTATCCGTCTTCGATAAATATATTTCCACGAATTTCATCCAAGTACATTCTATTTTAAAAATTATTTTCGGCGATAGACTTTTAATTTTAAGTGCTGTGACAGAGTGGGGGGAGGAGGGGGATGCTCGAGTAATTTTTGATAAAAGTCGTCGTAATTAGGGGCAAAAAGGACTGGAAATAGTATCGGTCAGGGCACGATTCTGTTCTATGGCTTGGCGCTACTTTAAGTAGCCTTATCTGCCTTTTTCCCAGGGCTGACTCTTCTTCGGATGGCAAAAAGCCCCCTCTGTCAGCGTGCGTTACCGTCAACGCGTCATCGCTCCACTTTTTTACCGACCTTTACTCGCGCGACTCAATGTCGAGCAAATTAACATTCTTATCTGTGATTGAGAACCGCGGCCGATGTTATCTGCGGGATTAAAAGTGGATTTAACCTCACTTCGAGGGCGATGCCTCGATTATTTTGATCGAAAGAAACGCGAAAACGAGGTTGGACAATCAAATTTCCCGTCCTATCTTTGCCATGTAAAAATTTTGATTAAGATTAAAAAAAAGAAACAATAAAAATATAATAATAATACATGCACGCTAATTTCTTGGCACCATTGGTATTTTCTCTTTTCCCCTCGATCGATTTCAGGAGGAAGATTATATAAATGTTTAAATCGATAAATTTCACAGATGAACGGTACAAAGTGAAGTTTACGACGATAAAGATGATTTAAAGCCGATTTTCCGGGAACGAAGATCTTTTTCGGTAGCTTTGCTGCGTGCAAGCCAAAGGATTCGAGGATCCCAAGGAGAGTCTTCCGTCGGTGTTTCTTGAAATATGACACCGACGTTCGAATTTTTATTAACCCAGATCAAGGATTGCGACCCCCTCCGACAAGGGATTACTGTGAATATCGGTCTGAAACGAACAAAAAGGGTTTGTTTATTATTTCGAACAGCAAAGAATAACCCTTTTCCTCGATCACTACAATTAGTTATTTTCACCCGTTGTGCTGCTTTCTTCTTTTGTTATACTTTTTAATCTATCATATTTTCACCATGATAAAAAGAAATAATCATTCCATATTCGTTTTTAAACAACACATAGTATTTATTATTATTATATCCGATATAATTCCATCATTACATATCAATCAATCAATCACGTCTAAGAATATTTTTGTTTCTTTTCTCTGAATATATGTTATGGATAATTCATTATACTTTCCATATATAATGATATATCTTGCGTATATGTACAATAACTATAATTATGTATATATTTATAATATTAATTAACGCGATCAATTTTCTCGTAACACGGTATAACGAGCTTTATTATATCTGATATTTAGAGTATTCTTGAAAAAAATGATCATAAAAAAGAGAAGCAAGGGATATCCTTTGGTATGGGCTCATTCATGGGTTTAAAGGGCTACCGGATTTTCATGAATGAACTCGGCGAGCGGACGTAGTAAGAGGAAGAAGCAACCGGTCTTCACGACCGTCTACCAGTTTATGATATACAGAGGACACGTGCACGCGATCTCAATGTTTATGTTTTGAATTTGTGACACCGGAACGGTTCCGAAATCCGGCACGATCTTAGACCTCCTTAAAGAGAAGTCATTCTCTTAGACCCAATGATACCGGCTAATTTGTATCCATTTTTGTATCCTTCATCGTCTCTTCATACAGATTTTTATTTCTCTCCATACATTGAGAGGTGGAATTCGAAGAAATTTGAAGATCGAAAGTTCGAAGATTCATTGATTACTTTAAAAAGTAAGAATAAAGATTAAAAAGTTGAAAAAAAGTTTGAAAATTCAGAAGAAAATTCGGAAATCTGAAATTTCTAAAATTCGAATGATCGAATTGGTTTGATTCGGATGTTATTCTTCTTCTTGATATTCTTATATTTAATATTCGAGTTTTCACGAGTTTTTCTTGGAACATCGAGTTAAAATATGTAGATTAATCGGGATTCGTATATATAATAAAGAATGCAACAGATACATTCAAAAGTCTGTTTAAATCAGTTTGGATCAATAAACATGACGTTCGAGTTTAGCAAGAATTAATTGAAGAAAATTTGCTGAGTAATTTCATGAAAAAATAAAGTTGTGTCTTTTTTTCTTTATATATATATATATCATTATTTTGAAATCGAAATTGCAAATACTTTATTTGCATCGTCCATTTCCAACAATAATATATAATGAATTGATCAACAAATCAATTATTCCCCAATATTTATTCAAGCTTTCGTAAATACCCGCATAATTATTTAATTGCTCATCCAATCAGAAACCATTACCGAGATGCAAGATTAATGCCTTTATTTTCGATTTTCTGAGGCTGACTCGCAACACTCGATGGATCGTCTGTCTTTATCCTTTCTATAGGAACTCCATTAATACTCGGTAACGCAATAAACTATATTTAGGGGGCGGCATGGCGTACACGTAGTATGATTTGATATCTCCTGAAACGCCACATGGCCCCTCTGAATTTCTCTTTTCCTCTCCGCTACTGCTGACTTAATCTCACTCTTTCTCCTTCCTTTTTTCCATCTTTCCTCTTCCTCTACCTCCTTCTCTTACCTCTTCTGTTTCCTTCCTTTTTCATCTACTGGTGGAACTTCACCATTTATATAGCCGTGTATAACTCTCTTCTTTGAGAGATTAACTTTTAATGATTATCGATCTTTTTATAAATTTCTTTAAAATTTTTTTTTTTTACTTTTTCACGTTTTTCTTTTTTTCTTTTGCGACTTTTTTTTTCCTCCGAATCGATTGAAGATCTTCCATTGCACGTGAATGGATCAAGTTGTGAGATGATAAAAATTTCTTTGATGATAAAAATAAAATCTCGAAATTATTACATTTAAATGTATTATTGTTATATCTTTCGTTAAGAAAGTTCAAATTATTGGATTGGATGGAAAACAACAAAAAATTAAGAAAATAAAAGTTGAAAAAATATATATATATATATATATTTTAAGCTAAAAGAACAATTGAAGAGTTTTTTTTTTTTAAAAAGCAATCGGAAATTTGAATGATCGTGTTGGAAAGTTGCACGGGAAATTCGAGAACTTAGAGAAAAATGAAGAAAGATGGGAAAAGGAACCACGTGTCATCGCGAGAAAAATAAATAAATTCCGGTTGCTGCGTTACCGACAGAGCGCAGAACACCATGGTCTAACTCTTTGTTTACGTCTGCTGACGTTTTCCGAAAAAATAACCTACTTAACGACGGAAATAATAATTAGTGAGCGAATCAGCCCAGAAACCCACGAGACTGGCACGCGTTTCGTGCAAAAATAAAATTGTTTCTCCTTTAAATAGGTCACTAATTGTAATAATATGAGATTTGATTCATTTAATTGCTATTATATCAAATAAATATAAAATTGATGATTTAACAATACATACATATATATATATCAACTTAATGATGAAATAAAGTTGAAGTTTTGTAAACACGATTATAGAAGAGTACAGAAACGATAATAATAATAAAATAACTTTATTTTAAAATAACTTAAGCACTATATATATATATAGTGCATATGCTTTTTCTCATACCGTATAACCCATCTTCAATTCTTAACCTTTAAAACCAGTCACTAGTCACTGTTATCTTAACTTAACTTAACCATACATGATATTCGACTAATCGACATTCCACCTTTCGATTTTCGTTATCGCCGGAAGTCACTTAGCTGCAATATATATCTATTTAAGAAATAATCGCGACAACTCCACTCGGAGGATAAAAAAAAGGGAGCGTGCGTCGCATGGCGGAGAAGTGGGAGAAAGCAGCTTCCAACCACGGACTGGAAGGGTCTCGTATTAGCCCCTTGGCCGTCCAATTCGGTGTCTGCTGCTTGGCTCGAGGGTGTAAAAGTGGTAAAGGGACACACGCATCGCATCGAAACGCCGGCAGCTTTTGCGCTGTTGGAACGCAATCCAGAACACCTTTTAATCATCCTCTAATCTATCCCTCGTTTGTGGGAAACCGCGCATCGCCTACATACGAATGCACGTACATAATGCACATCATTAACATATGTACTTTTTCTTATTTCTGTAAATATTAGGAAACAAATTGAAAAATTTCATTTGGTTCGTGAATTTGCCAATTTATTTTGCTAATGTGAGTTCAATATTTATTTGAAATTTTCATAATGTTTTCTAGTTTAATTTAAGTTTTCTTTTAGTCTAGTATTTTTTTTTACAAAGGTTACCTTACACGCGTGAATAAAATTATGATGGAAAGTGAATTGATATATTTACATCGTGATTAAATAATGTGTGTTCTCAAACAATTGGAAAATTGGCCCGATTGAAAAATTATTCCTGAAAAGCGTGGCTCTCAGGGAAGAGCGTGGTAATCGACCGCCTGGCATCAAAGGGAAGAAATTAGTCGTCCTTAGAGAAGTGGTGGATCGCGCGGCGTCTGCCTTTGACAACGTCTGTCAAGAAGTTTCTGCGACCAGACTAGCAGTCAACCACTTGACCAATTGCTTTCTCCGCTATCTATTAGGAAAAAAAAAAAACCTAAAATAAAAAAGGAGAATATATGGAGAAAAGGAATTAACGGGGGAAAAGTAAGAGAGTAAGCGCCAGGGAAGAATTTCGGAAGAGAATTTCAAGCAACAAATATACTACCAGTCGCAACATTCCATTTAAAAAAGATCGATTCTACGTATTATACTGATAAGTATAACAAATTATTAAGCGTGGATACTATGTCTGGTAACAATCGAGTATAAGGCCAGATGCCTTTCGTTATCATTAATAATTTATTACATATTTTTTTTTTCTCGACATTTTTCTAACTCTGTCATATGTAGGTTTACGAGCGTGGTGATTCATTCAATTAACATTCTTCGATAATGTAGTTTTTAATCCGTATACTATTTAATGACTCATACTTGTGCAATACGTTTATTATTTAGTTTACGAAAACATTATTATTATAGGCACTATCGAGTATGTATTTATTACAAACTGTCATTTTTTACCATTTACCGTTAATTTTTTTTCATTTAAATATTAATTGATGAAATGACACACGATGGAGAAGCATATGTGATGATAGAACAGGAAAACAGGTGCCAGTTTACTCAATATTTATATGATAGGTTCTCTCTTGGGATTGCTACCGTTTAGAATGAATCCCTTTGGCGGCAGGGGGATATTCCAGGAGTCATTTTTCTAATTTTATTAGTCAAAATAGTAGAAAAAATGGCAGTTAATCTTGCTACACAGGAAATTGTGGTCATTACAATTAAAAATAATCATTAAGAAACAAAAGTTAAATTAAAAAACCAGAAGTTTCAAAATGTTTCAAAAAGTTTAATTTTATTATATATTTTGATAGATATTTATGTTTTTTCTACATTTTTTTTTTTTAATCTCTACATTACTGTTCTAAAAAAGTAAATAGTAATAAATATTTTATTACTGTTAAATGATATCTCGATTATCTTGTATCTTGGAACAAAAACGGCGTCGTTTGATGTCGAGCACGCCATTTTGGTAGTAATGGGTAAAGAGTCGAAAAGAACCGCTGAAGGAGAGGATAAAAAAGTTTGTCAAGAAGGGAAAGAAGTCACTGGTTACGCCCTCATCTCGAATTTCTCGCGATGAGATCGCCAATAGTAGTGGGCGTCAATCGGTAGGCTCTTACACGAAATTCGATATGGATCTTTCTCCCATCGACTGTGTAAATGCTTAGCGAAGTTTTCATCCAAAATCTTTTTATCATTCATTTTTTTATTATCTATTCCTTACTCTTTAACATACATACATCATAATTCTGTTTAGGGTTAAAATTTATTTTAGGATCGCAATTAAAAATTAATAATTACTCTGAACAAGAATAGAAATGTTTATATAAATATACTTAAAAAAAGAAAGTATCGAATAACGGATATATCTTTTTATTTATACCATTTCTAAAGTGATGTAATAGTAAGAGGCTGACCTTGAAATTTGTTTGGCGCCAGTCTCTTATTGCAGATCTTTTCCTAGAAAATTTACGAGTTTTCCTCGGTTTTCGTATATACCAAGGAGAAAGAAGAGACTCTAATCGTTGACGTAGGTAACCGAAAAGCTTCGTTCCTCATGTGCAACCACTTGAACTTTTTATACATGTCTCTTTGTATTTCACACTCCAATCTTCGATTCATCTTCCTTCTTATTTCATTTTCTTTCACCTTCTGCGAATCTTTTGACATCCTGAAGATCCCTTTGCAAAATAAATATTTTATTTGAATTTTATTTTAGAATGATTTAGAAAAAATTATTGAATTGTTGTACAATTTTGTTAAAATTGTAACTTTATATTTTATGCTGTGAAAATAAAAATTTTTATGAATAAAAATATGCCATGACTTTCTTCGATAGAGCATATGCTATTTTTTTTATCATTCATTGACATTACTCTTGTTTCTTATTTCTTTGTTTTGTTTATTTATTACATTACATAAAAAGGTTCTAAAAATTGTTCAAAAGAAAATTCTGCACGTGTGTGCCAGATCCGTATTTCCTCCATACTTAAGATTCGAAAAGTTGCGGCAGCCGATTACGAAAGCAGGACGAATCTATTGTACTCTAACTTCAGACACAGATGTAGTCTCGTGAGCACAGTATTGTGCGTCCCTAGCTTCGGATTACACTTTATTGAGGCACTTGTCTTTCCTCGATGGCGCGTGACACAGGTTAAGTTGTCTTTTGAAGGAGACAGTTTTCTTTCATTTTTTTGGTTTCCTTAGTTCATCGAGGGAGGTCGGCGCCAGTCTCATTGCGGGATTCCGTCGATATCATAGAAAAAGGACACAGTTTCTTTAAATATACGTATTGGTATCCGGGAAATTGGAGAACGTGCACAACGTGTAAAAGGTCAGTCTGGAATTCGATTTGTCTCGTGTTCTCTTTGAAATTCAAACCAACCAACGGAAGTTGGATACATGTAATTTTTATGGCAGACTGCAAAATTTTTTAATTGCAAAAAAAATTTACACTTAACTAAATTTACACCTTATTAAAAAATATCTTAAAATTCGAATAAATAATCCAAATGATACTTAATTCATCATTAATAAAATAATACGCGCATAAATATATATATATACATATTATAAAGTCTAGATATTTTATAATAATAATTTCTCCTAAAACATCTGTTTCCATATCATTCCAAAAATTATCTAAATCACTTTCCACATCACTCTCTCGAAAATCCTCAGTAAATATAACAATTGCGTTTTGAATTGCTTTTCTTACTTTACCAATTCATTGTGCATGTTAATAAAGCGTAAAAAAAAACGGACGAGCGGTAAAGATGGAAACTACTATTGACTAGGACATAAATAACATTCGCGAGAAGAATGGAAGACACAAATGTTTTTCCGTTGCGAGTGTTCATTGCGGAAAAATGGTGGGTTCTCGCAGATGTCGACCACATTGATGACGACCTGGCACTGAAATTCGCTCCCTGTTTTCTTCGCTGCGGGATGTCTACTATTTCCACAGACTACGACAACCTAACCCCAATTTATGCAATCACTACTTGCCATTCACTCCTCCGCAATAACTAAATGCATTTCTTTCCGAGTGGTGGCACTATTAGCAATTGGAACCGATACTTTTGCTAAAGATGGTTCTATTATTGATGAGATGCGTTCATAAAGTTATTAACCAAAGATTTTTGATTCGTTAACAGCAAGAATGTTGGAATTATCTATATTTTTTAGAAATTTAATTATTATTACTATTATTATTATTATTATTATTATTATTATTATTATATATTATTATTAATTATTATTTCTATAAATACACAAATCATTTAAAATTGGAATTTTAAAAATTACAAGTTACTATTTATTACTAATAAATATTTTTTCATAATAATAAAAAAAGAGCATAGAAAATAGAAAAAGATTTTACAAATATATCTTATAAGATATAAATTGTAAAATATAAGATTTGTGCAAAACTATAATTTAATATTACTTGATGTATATATATTGCAAAAAAAAAAATCTAAGTAAAAGTAAATGATATAATTCTTATAAAAGTCAAAAAGTTTTTTCAACTTAAGAACTTTCTTTTCGAACTATAATACTTGTGAGATTTTTTTCAATTGCTTGCCCAAGTTGTTAATCGTTCAGAAAGCACGAGGATCCTTTTTTAAATACTTGACCGAAGTGTTCATGAAAATACAGGATCTGTTTTCCCACGAAAGGGCGAACGTCCCAAGGGTGTTTTAAGCACGTGTTGCAACTGCACTTGCAACCCTTAAAATGTACTTAGTTAATGATGTCATCAAATTCCCACATATTCACCATTGTCTATCTTTTTATCTAATAAATCATTCATATAATTCTCCTGATATTTTTTATTTAATTGCTATTCTCGATCCTTTTAGATAAAACGACATTCTTATTTTTATAATAAATTATAATTATTTCTTTATTTCTATTTTTCAGATAATTTTATCATTTTATATATTTATTATTTATAATTTATATTTTTTAACAATTTTTTTCAATAATATTATATTATAAAAATTATTTGGATACAATTTTCTACTTTTTTTATACAACATGAATTTTTTATACAACAATAATTTTTGTATAAAAAAAAAAGTAGAGAATTTCATTTAAATTGAATTTGAGGAAAATCACTTTCTCAAAAGGGTCTCTTGATCGTATCGATTTCTTCCACGGATAAAACAAGCAGTTCTTTCTCTTCTCGGTTTACTCGCTGCTTCTATGGATTGCGTGTAAGAAAGAAAAATATGTATCCGTGTAAAAAAGATCGGTCGAAGTAAAAACATTAGCCTAAGTAAACAGTGACACGAGCTGAGGCTAATATACTAGTAACTAGAAATTAACCTGACCTCTTTTACTCTTATTTTAGAATTATAGATCATTACGTATAGCTAAAATTTACATATAATAAAATTTTGCACTAATATTACAATAGTTTAATCAATCTTTTTTATCAAAAGCTTCATATGATTTTTATTCCATATATTTCTTTAATTTGGTGGAGTTCTTTATTTTGATGAAGTTGGATTATAAAGAAAAAAATAAAAAATAACCATATTATATCATGTATTAAATAATTTTTTTTTATTCAAAAAAGAAACAAAATATATTAAAATAAAAACGAAATTTTTTATTAGCATGAATTATAAATACATTATAAAATATTTAAATATATACAATAATATTAATATAATAAGAATGTTACTAGAAAAATATCGATGCTATATAAATAATGTAAACAATATTAGTAATTCGTTTTGTTTGATATACAAGAAAATAAAGCGTAGCGAAAGAAATATCTTCACAAAAAAGGAACAATCTAATAACTTTATTTCTGTTTATTTTTAAATCTCTAGTATTGAATTCTATATATAATCTATAGTTACAAGATTTAACATTGATTATTTAATAATTAATTAGTTTATAATACTGTATTTTATATATTATTGACTTAATTCATAAAATAGAAGAAAATAAGTATAGATACATAAAAGTTAGATTAAATAAAATATTTATAAGTATTGAATAAAAGGTTAATTGAATTTCTTAAAATCGATAATTGATCTGAACTGATAAGAAATCCGTCGTTCATTAGTATACGAAATTATTATTATTATATTATTAGTACCTATATTTAAGTAGCCAATTATTGAATTAAATTAATCCAAATTTCTAAATAATTATTATTTTCAATTTTTTAATTGGCTGTTATTAATTTGAATTATAAACTAAAATGAAAGACTATAGTGTTTTCTATTTCTACTGATTTTACTTTCTTCACACCTATCAAATCTCATATATCATAAATTGATATATATATATATATAAAGATATTTTTTAATTATGTTTAATAATTATCGATGATTTTTCACAGCTGATTTGTACCTTCATTTCCTGACTAATCTCTACGCATTTAAATTATTTTTGATGGATCAACATCGAGTTATCAAATACGCTTTGAATTGGAACAATAAATACAGAATGGGCTCGAATTAATAATATAGTTGAAAAACAGTGATTTTTGATATAGTAACAAATCGAAAATATAATAGAATTTTAATTTTTTTTCTTCACGAAAATCAATTTTAAAAATTATCTAACTCAAAATAATATAACATATACATATTTATATAGAAATCCTATTTTTATGAATGACTAGATTCGGTGTAACTTGGATTATTTATATTTTTTCAGTTTATATTTTCAATTAAAAAAAAATTTTTTTTCTATGATTTTTCTTTCTTGAATTTGAATATTAGAAACTGAATAAAAATATTTTTTAGCTAGTATGTAATAAATATATAAAATTTATTTATATATATATATTATATATAATATATTTAACACATATATTAAAAGCTATGTAATAAAATTAAATTAAATATATTAGAATGTTTTTAGCTAAAATGTTGAAGTTGAATTGATCTCAAAGAGTTATATATAGATTATTTAATCTCAACATTAAATCTCAACATTAAATAATCTATATATATTTAAAATGTTATATTAAATAATTCTTAAGAATTCACTTAAAATTTCATTAGATTAAAAGACATTCTTAATTCACATACAAAAAAATCACTGTTTACTTGATTATATTCTATTCTCAGCCACATCCAAAAATAACTAGCATTTTTGAACAATAACAAAATAAAAAAAATATTCATCATTAACACTAATATCAAACAAATATTTTCAGATACAATGTAACATGCTATTGATCATTATTTATAAAAATCTTTATATAAACAAACAAATAATTCTGGGATAAAATATTATCCCACTTTTTTTTATTGTTATTTCCTAATTTTTCTTTCAATTATGTGTAAATAGATGCTTGACCAGCAAGCAGATTTAATATCAATGAATCGATTAGTTACTATTATTAGTATTCATCTGATTCATTATTTGAAGTTTTTCTTCCTGATCAAATCCTGATTTACGGATGATTCATAACTATGATCTATTCTAGTCTCCATTCCAGAATTCAATTGAGTTTTATCCGAGTCCTCGCTATAACCATTATTGTGATGGACATTTCTCATTTGTGACCACGAATTTTTGTCTTCAGATCCGATCACAAAAATAAACGGACACTTGTCATCTTTATCATCGTCTTTTAAATTCTGATCGTATATACTGCCTATTTCAGATTTCTGATTAAAAGTATTTTCAGAATCTTGTATCATTGTAGATGACGAATCTTCCGTAGAACGATAGATTTCTTTGCTGGAATCGGTAGAACCAAACATTTTTTCTTGGTTTTGTTTAGAAGATAGATTCGACTGATTCTTATGAGACAAAAAAGCACGATCTAACGTCATAAATGGCATTTCGAAGCACAATGTCCAAAGTGCAGAAAGAAACATTGTGAGACAGAGATTGCTGAAGAAGCTGCGAAGCTAAATGTTTTGATAAATAATTAATTAGTTAATGATATTTATAAAATGTAAATTTAAGATTAATTTCAAATTTAATTTAAATTAAAAATTAGATTTGAATTAAAACTTAAATTAAATTATTAGATTATTTATTAAAATAGATATTTATATTAATGTCATATATTCAAAATTTAGAATTTACATTCTGAGAATTTGAAAGTTTGAATTGTATTTATTAAAAATTGATATCAGAATTAAAATTTTTTAAATTTATGATCACTTACAATTGCCATAGTCGAAATTATACCAGTAGTACGAACTGATCCAGCTTCTACTAATAAAAATACGAAATGGCACAGATAAGCGCTGTAAGTTAATTTACTGAAAGGAACCCAACCCTTCCAAGAAAGAAAATGATTCACGAAACCTTAAACAAAAAAGAGTATCATTGGAAATTTCATATTTATTATTTTATTAAATTCATTATGAATTTCATTAATAAATATAATTTTTATGATATGATATAAAGTATCTCAGTATTCTAGAGGTTTAGGACAGATTTTCTTATAAATATTAAATTAAATATTTTTTAAGCATTCTGTTAATATAAATACTCGGCATAAAGAATATATGTATATTGTAATATCAATTAGGCAAAGAAAATAAAATTGATCAAATATCGGAATTGTTTTTTGTAAAAATTTTATAGAACAAATACAGAAAAGGAAAGAAAATAGTGGGATAAGGATAGAAATAAGATAAAAATTGGGGAATTAGTGCCATCTTTAGATTGCCGCAAATGAAACATAAATATAGACAAAGAAAGTAGATAATAGAACAAAGTAGAGATAAGATAAAAATTAATTATTAGCGCCATCTCTTGAATATTAAAGCAACATCTTTTCCAAAGTATTCAAGAGATGACGCTGATCTATTCTATCTTTCTCTGCTTTTGAAATATTTTTGATATATAAGAAATGGCGCTGATAGTCAATTCTTATTTTATCTCTATTCGTATTCTATTATTGACTGTCATTTCTATTTGTATTTTTTTGTAGCACTCTAGAGATGGTGCTGATTTTCAAATTTTTACTATATATCTTTCTTATTATTCTATTATTTTTTCTTATTGTACAAAATTTGTAAGCTCAAAAAATGATTCCAATATTTAAATAAATTTATTATATCTTCTTTATATAATATATTGATTCAAAATTTAAAAAATCTTATTTAT